CCACTATTTATGTCTGTTCCACTGCAATTACCAATTACAGACAGCAATGAAAAACATTTTTGGCACCTCTTTATTTCCCTCTAGTGAGTAGGTTACTCAGGATTTCCGATACTATGTAACCTTTTGAAAGAACGAAAATGTGAGACAGTCAGATCGCAAGGCTTCTCCAAAACCTCAATTTCTTAGCTTCAATCTCAGAACTGCTCCTTCCACGAGAACTCACTCATAGCTTGAGCTGTTTTCTCCGAAGCGTGCCGCTTGCCAATTTAATTGCACTTCTGCCAGACCTTCTGTGTGTTTGCTCTACTTTGCTGCTTTGCTCTTGCGAAATTGAAATGGTGGTTGACAAACATTCCTCTATACATGGGAAAGCGCGGAAATTTGGCCCAGCTGTTAGTGGTGTGGCACCATATAGCAGGTACTTCGTGATGAGTCGCAGGAGAACTGTAGCGCCTCTATCTCGAACCAGTCGGAGGGAAGCCCGCTCGCATCCTCCGACGACACGACCAAAAAGCCACTCTTCCAGCGCCCATTGGTGTTCGCATTTAGTGACCACGGTTACGTTAATTTCGACAGAACATAGAGTCCTGTGACGACAGGTGGATCTATTTCGAAGCTAAAGGATAAAGGATAAAGTCTTCGCCGTTGATCAATCCCTTTGTGGGATGCGGCACGCATTCTACTTCCATTCAGAATCGTAGTGGCTTTGAATGCGATGTGGCCTATACAATGACTTGCGGTGGCCAGCCGATGTACAAGTCAGTGTTTTATCCTCCCAGACGAATCTGGTACCAATTTACCGTCCCCGGAGGGTAGAAGGCTTGGTTGGCCTAGGGCGGGAGTCGACCCGGGATTTGATCCCAGGACAGCACAAGTGGTAGCGCGCCACTTGTCACTTAGCCACCTCCTCGCCAGTTCCGAAGTTCTCCTCACATATGTCTCGGAATGACTGTTCCCATTGAACCACAGTGTGATGGCTAATCTCGAGCACATATGCCATGACGTTCACCCTTCCCATGTCGCGTAGCTAGAAATAGGGCAGCGCAAACATGCGAGACTTAGACATGATGAACCTTCCAAAGAAACCTTCTTGCGCTGGATCTTACCTCACTTTTGCCAGTGCAACACGTAAGCCGGTTGCACACCACACCATTGTCAGGCATACAGTTTATCGATACCATAGATCCTCGAAAGAGTGAGGCCATCAGTCGATGGCGGTTGAAGGCAGCGCCCGCGTTCATTTGTTGTTTCCACGCTCTTTGGATATCGTAGCTCACGCAATGAGGATGGTGGACGTGCTAGTTTCGCAACTCAAAAATGCGAGAGAACAGCGGCGCCCGCTGGTGAAGAGTCGGCCACCCCGCCCACCTGGCGACCACTACGCCCAACTTCATTTCTAATGGTTGCCTGATGGTGCGGTTGTTCCGCTTCTCTCTGCACATCGAATGGTGAGAGATAAGGGAAAACAGCTGATACCAACAAGTGAGAACTCGTGCGGTCGCGCCTTCTCTTCGCCTTAAGCATACAAGCATACAAGCATAAGCGTACAAGCAGATAGCATAACCGATGATTTTTTTGCATTTTTCTTCACTAATGAACTACTTGCTACCTTATTGTCACTGTCTGAGCCCCATAACTCATCAAATTGAACGCGAGGCGCTGCCTTCAAGAGCGTAGCAGCCCTACTTTCATGCGTTCACAGAGATGTGAAGCAATTTTGCGGAGCTAGATTCATAGGAGCTGGCCATCTCTAACTGTGAGAAGCACCTCGCTCTAACAGCATGCCTCATTTGATTCCCATTTGTGAGAACCTAATTGTTTGCTGTATTGCGCCACTATCATTTTCTCGCCGATGGAATGTTATGTTCGCGATCATGGCGCCCACTAACCCTCATACGCAAGTTCAAATCTGAATATTCGACTCTAAGTTCCCTATAGAAGTGCTCAATAGTGTTGATGACCTGCTACTCGTCATGCTTCGTCACCTCACAGATGACTGGGTCGAGATGAAGGCTTTTCCTCGGTCATTTTATCATCCTAATGCTAACCTTAAGAACCGGAACTAGATGTCATTATTTTTATGCTTGCTTGTGGTCATTTTTGACTGATTTGGAAACAATTCCCCTAGGCGTACTTCATCTGTATCCACGATATTTCAGAACACAAGTCAAGGAAAAGCAAAAAATGATTTAAAAGGATATTCCAATTTTTTCTTTTTCCAAAAAATTGGAATATTCAAAAAATGCTTGCTTGCTTATTCCGGTGCAAAAAAGGCGTTTTATCCGAGTTAGCGCCCATTGGCACTAACGGGTGCTATCGCCAAAAAGGACTCGTGATTACTGGTCGAAATTTTCTTTAAGCAGAGTTCCACAGCACAAATTTGCGTTTTTGGGTGAGAAACAGCTGAGCTGATTTTTCAATAATGGACAAGCAGAGGAGTGGGGAGCAGGCGGGATTATCACTGGCGGATGAAAGTATGTGGATGGAGCTGATAAGAGCCTATAAGAGACCTCAGAAAATTAAAGCTACGAAAGCCACAGTGTGGGGCACAGTAACTGTGGGGTGTTGGTTCCAAGGAGTGATATATGGGCCAAAATGAGTGCATTATCGGTCAATGGCAGGAACTGATAACAACTGATAGGAGCTGATTAGGGACGTGGAGAGGAAGCCTCATAAATCGTATGTCATGAGTGGTGGCAACAGTGGGGCATGGCTCCAGTCAAGGAAAATCAAAAAATAGTTTAAAAATTTCTTTGGTTTGTTCCAAGTAGGGCTTCAGGATCAAGCATCCGTTGAGAATTCCTCATCAGTGGAAATCGCATGTTGCTCGCTGACAAGCGCAGCTCGCGAAGCGCGCTGCACCGGTTTCTAACATTTTCTGGCATCTGATTCCTGGAAACTGCGTGTGATCGAAGTTGTTATTGCTTTTTTTGAAGGACGATAACTTGCGCGCAAATTTCCGAAAAAGCCCTCAAAGGCGAATTTTTCGAAAAATGGACCGGGTTCTACGGTTACCCTGCACGTTTAAGCATCACCTAGAGGAAAAATGGCCCAATAGTATAAGCTCTGTGGAAGTGGTGTGCCGATATAACCTCCTTTTACCACATGAAAAAGAGAATGAAACGACTACTTGAACTTCATAGGGGAGAAGTGCTGATGCTCTTCTTTCATGTCATCTCGGCATTGGAACGCTAATAAATGATAATCACTACGAAGCTCTTGAGAGGTTGTCATTGAAAAAGAAGAGTTGACAAAGCGACAGGCGCAAGTTCTGTTCCCTCCAAAGCTCGCATGCGATATTCACTGAGTTAATTTTGAGGAAGGCCTCTCGGTCTCGCACAGTAAAGGATAAAAATTCATCGAGGAAGCAAGAATTTAAGCCTCAAGGAAACATATTTTCGGTGACGCTAACAGGACATTTTCGGTAACGCGAATAAACACAAAATTTCTGTAACGCAAATAGACACAAAACAAAAACGGTACTGCGAAGCGAGAATTCTGCTTTCCTAGTGACTGCAAAATTTTCAGAAGTCTAGTATTCAAGTGACCACCCTTGAGGATTTTTCCGAATCAAAAATCAAAAATTTGTTGGTTGAACTACCGAGTTTTTGACTTTTCATGAACTACTGCTGTTGACTTTTCCTCTCCCATTTCAATAGCGCTATACATCCCTTTCCCCGCTCGCGCAACGGGCTTTTGTGGGGACAAAGCGTAAGGACATGAAAAAAACTCCGATAAATTGTTAGGAAGCTGGGAAAACTCAGGAAAATAGTGTGAAGGATGGGAGGGTGAGAGGGTGGCTTACCTGCGGAGAATTTCGGAAGGGTCCCATCCTCGCAAATTTTCTCCAACGACAGAATTCGCCTCATCAAGTGTACGAAGCATTTTGCATGGGTAGATATACTTACAGAGAGAGAAAGATCGGAGCCAACGCCAGCAGTTTTGTAAAATAGTGTCACACATTCTCAAACAGCCACCTGTATAACCCGTGCTCTGGTTGATCATCGAGTTCCTCAAGCGGAGGCCAGTAATTTCTCCACTCATCTCT